CCCTTTAATGCTCTGCCAAAAGATTATTTGGTGCTTCCCAGATAAAGGAGATGGGAAAGCTTTAAAATAGTGACCATCTGATGGGTCAGTTTTAGGAAAAGTTGCAGTGAGGTTGGTCTAACTCTCTGAGTTAAGACTGTGAAGTTGGGGTGAGGGGCTGGGTGTTCCCGTCCCTGCCTCATGCTGGCTGCCATTCGCTCTAGCCTAAGACGGCCCTCCACGGTCCATTCTAGTCCCCTTCACTAGAGGCCTCCATAATAACTTGACTCTTCTGGCCCGGGTTTTTCTTCACACGTTGTGGTCTCCATCACAACACTTCTCACCATCTGCCTTGCCTTGGTCATGTCTGACTCTGCCTCCAACTGCAGATGGTGAGCCCGGGGCAGGCAAGACCATCCTACTAGAAGTGGGGGGTGCTGAGGAAGAGGGTCTGGGGTATGGGGAAGGGTCCTGGCAGTGAAAACAAGGCAGAGCCTGCAGGGGCACTCAGCTGGAGAGGCAGAATCAAGTCACGGAGCTTGGAAGTTGGGTAACTGGGAGGGAACTTAGTTAAAATGAAAGTCTATGGTGAAGCTGGCCTTTCTTCTGACACTCCAGGAAGGTGGAAGTTTGCTCTTTATTGAGAGCTCAAGAGAAAGGGAAGAAATATTTTCATGATCAATGTGAAAATGTTATTTAGAACAGGGGCAAGATACAGCCCTCTGGGCCAAATCTGGCCTGCTGCCTGGTTCTAAGATAAAAGTCTTACTAGAGCACAGCCATGCCCTTTCGTGTCTGTGTTGCGTCCAGCTGCCTGAGCACTACAACAGAACTGAGTCGTTGTGATAGAGGCTGTATAGCAGGCAAAGCCTAATGAGTATCTCTGGCCTTTTCAGAAAACATGTCTCCACCCCTGATTTAGAACAGCTCTGGGCTCTGGGTATCTGTCTACATCTGGGCAGAGGACCATCCGCTCACAGTGAACAATTTGAGGTCAGATATAAACACACTGTTCAGAGCCAGTGTTCAGCCCAGCCTGCAGCGTGTTGGGATATAGATCCCACGGCTGAAGGCCACGCAGAACAAGCTCATGGGAACTGCTACTCCCTCGCCAGCACGCTGGAAAGATTCCTGGGTACTGCTTCAGATTTGGGGCTTCCCACTGCAACCTCCTCCTCCCAGGTTCAAGCAATTATCCTGCCTCAGCCTCCTAAGTAGCTGGGATTACAGGTGCATGTCACCATACCCAGCAAATTCTTTGTATATTTAGTAAAGACAGGGTTTCGCCATGTGGGCCAGGCTGGTCTTGAACTCCTGGGCTTAAGCGATTCTCTTGCCTCAGCCTCCGAAAGTGTTGGGATTACAGGCATGAGTCACTGCATTCAACCCTAATAAATTTTTTTTTGAGACAGTCTCACTCTGTCACCCAGGCTAGAGTGCAGTGGCGTGATGTCAGCTCACTGCAACCTCCACCTCCTGGGTTCACGCAATTCTCCCACCTCAGCCTCCCAAATAGATGGGATTACAGGTGCATGCCACCACACCTGGCTAATTTTTTTTTTTTTTTTTGAGACAGAGTCTTGCTATGTTGCCCGGGCTGGAGTGCAATGGTGCAATCTCGGCTCACTGGAACCTCTGCCTCCCAGGTTCAAGTCATTCTCTCTGCCTCAGCCTCCTGAGTAACTGGGATTACAGGCACACGCCACCTTGCCCAGCTAATTTTTTTATTTTTAGTAGAGAATGGGTTTCGCCATGTAGGCCAGACTAGTCTCAAACTCCTGACCTCAGGTGATCTGCCCACCTCGGCCTCCCAAAGTGCTGGGATTACAGGTGTGAGCCACCGCACCTGGCCAATTTTTTGTATTTTTAGTAGAGACAGGATTTTGCCTCTCTCTGTCCTCCTACCTCTTGACCCTGGTCATGGGTCTAGTCGCAGGAAGTGAGTGGCAGAGCAGGATAAATAAAAGACCAAAAGACCAAAAAGAGGAGCACCAGGGAACTCGTGGTTACTGGGAGATGCCAGAGAGGGGAATTCAGGGAAGCAAGTAAACACAGGCTTGATGAGATCAAAGCCTCATCCCTGAGCTACGCACATGTGGGCCTGACCCTAAACAGCATTCCAGAGACACCGAGGTGTGAACTGTGGCCCAGCTCACCGCCAAGTCCCCAGGTGCCCCTGGGTGATGCACACACAGCACAGCGCTGCACGGTCACTGCACGGCGCCGCAGAGGCGCTGAACACAGGACTGACACCAAAACCACACCCTGAGAAGCCTGGTTGGAATGTGCAGCCTGAACCCAACTGAATCAATCATCTGCTAAGACAAAAATAATGACATTTACAAGACCCAGAGCCTCATAACAATATTTAAAATGTTCAGGATACAAAATTACTTCGCGCAGGGAGAACCAGGAACCTCTCTACTCACATGAGAGCTGACACAGACGTCACCGCCGCACAACTCAGATGCTGGAATTAGCGGATGAAGACTTGAAAGCGGCTATTACAAGAAAGTTCCAACTGGGAACACATGGAAAGATGAAGTCTCAGCAAAGACACAGAAGGTAGAAAGAACCGATGCAATCAAAAACACACAGGACCAGCTCGATAGTGGAATGACAATGCAAGGGAAGATTCAGTCAACCCAAAGATAGTTCAATATAAATTATCACATCTCACTGACAGAGAGAAAAAAAGAAAGGGGCTAGCTGTGGTGGCTCATGCCTATAATCCCAGCACTTTGGGACGCCGAGGTGGGCAGATCACTTGAGGTCAGGAATTCCAGACCAGCCTGGCCGATACGGTGAAACCTCATCTCTATTAAGAATATAAAAACTAGCTAGGCATGGTGGATGTATGCCTGTAATGCCAGCTAATGGGGAGGCTGAGGCATGAGAATCTTTTAAACTTGGGAGACAGAGGTTGCAGTGAGTCGAGATCACGCCACTGCACTCCAGCCTGGGTGACAGAGTGAGACTGCATCCCCAAAAAAAGAGGGCCAGGTGCGGTGGCTCATGCCTATAATCCCAGTACTCTGGGAGGCCAAGGAGGGCAGATCACGAAGTCAGGAGTTCAAGGCCAGCCTGGCCAGCATGGTGAAACCTCGTCTCTACTAAAAATACAAAAATTAGTTGGGCATGGTGGCGTGTGCCTGTAGTTCCACCTACTCGAGAGGCAGAGGCAGGAGAGCTGCTTGAACCCAGGAGGAGGAGGTTGCAGTGAGCCGAGATTGCACCACTGTACTCTAGCGTAGTGATAGAGCACGACTCCATCTCAAAAAA